GTAATATTCTTCTCCATTCTTTTCCTTTTTTCTGTGATTCAGAATTTAATGCATTTGAACACAGGCACTTGCAGACATGCTACTCGAAAAGGAGTAAGTAAGCTACTAGGAAGAAAGACGATGCCCCTTTCATCATCCTTTACTTGTTCAAAGATCTGGTTTTTTTACACTCAATTAGTTAGCAACACTTATCCACTCTACACTCAGTTCAAAAAATATATTTAAATTTTAATGGGGAAATAGGAAAGGTATTTCAAAGGAGGAAAAATTACATAAGTACATAGTGTGATTTTTGTTAATCTATTCATTCAACAAACTACTGTTGCACATTCTCTGCATACAAGCTGTGTTAGTTTCTGTGCCGGGGCATGTGCAAGACACAGTCTCTGAACTTCACGGAGCGACTGATCTAGTAGCAGACGTGAGACCTGTGCATAGAATTAATTCAAACACAAAACACAGTGTGTTAAGTGCCAAACAGAAAGGCAGAATTGAAGAGGGGTTGTTTCCAAACAAAGTTTCCAAATTGTGCAGAGTAGCGTCTTGAGTTGCCACGGCACACGCACAGGAGTGTGGCAGGAGTGTTTCAAATACTCAGAGGAAACAGTGATACTCATTGGCTGTCAAATACTGTGTGAACTATTACTTCAGGATAGTTTAGTTTCAACATTAGATCGCACCACATTTCTTTTCAGGATGTCCTATCTTTGTGAAGCTGGTTTTTGGCAGTTGCAGTGATAAAAAGCAAATACCCTGCAGAAAGAAATTTATGTGGAATAGGAAAAAGAGGGTGACAGAGTCCAATCTTATTCAAGAGTCTGAAATGCTGTGCAGTGCCCAACAGACGCATATATCCCATTAGGATAGAGTACATAAAGTGAATGACTCAAGAAATCATGTCAATAATAATAATAATAATAATAATAATAATAATAATAATAATAACAACAACAACAATGTTATTATTATTATTATTATCCATGGTGGTGGTGGTGTCAACATGGACCACAAGGGCACTCTTGATCAAGGAATATTTTTCTTCAGCCGAGTGTGATATAGTTTGAAGAGGGTGGGACTTGGGTGTCAGGAGGACTAACTAGG